AAAAAAACGTATGAAGTTAAGCAGGACACTAACATGTGATAGTACCAGGCTTCACAAATTACGTACATTGAATTGCAAAAAACTGACACTATATCTGTAATACAGATTACACACTAATATTAATACGCAATTCTAACAATGTTTTAAGATATTGCTGCAACATTGCTGGAATAATATTTCCAAATAATGTTTTTGCAATATCTCTGCAACATTGCACTGCAGTTGCAATGTTGCAACGTTGCAGCAATGTTGCTGCAAGGTTCTGTGCTATATGGGTATACTAACTATTCCTTCTTTAACCCAGTTTGAACTTGATATAAGAAAAATATAGTACAAAATTATTTTATAATAACGTTGACTGTACAAAACTATAAATACATTATAATCATCAAATAAGAAGTAAAATAAAAATTGTTTGTATACTAACTTCCTTCTTTAACCCAGTTTGAACTTGATATTGAGAGTAAGTTATTGTCATCATTGTTTCCATAATGAATCTCTTCAGTAATGATAGAACTTTTACTACATTGTGGATCTAAAAATAATAAAAGAATATGTTAACGTTGTCATTTTCCGCCAAGTTTAAGATTGATTAATTTAAATACAACATTTATGTCATTGTATACTGTAAACAAAATTATAGAAAGTAAAATATGAATTAAAATTCAATTGTTTACTATACACATAACAGTCTATTATTACTAATACCATATTTCTATTTTTCTATTTATTAATGTTTTTTTGTATTACCTTTTTTGTACTTTTTGTAGATTTTTTTACAGAAATCGGAATTTTAGGAAGCTCAGAAATTAAATTTATCGTCAGATAGTTCTTCGGAGCTACTTGCTGACGTATTTATGATTTTAGCGGCTCTAATTTTCCTTGACTTTTTTTAGATTCTCTTCTTTTTCTGTGTCAGAGTTCAAATCTGACAGTTCTTCGGCTTCTTTCGATTTTTTTCTTGCTACTGCATAGTCAGCTACAATAATATATAATATTAAAATTGTTATTTTTTTTATGTTTTTAAGAAATAAAAAGAATATGAAAATATATTAATATTATACGAAAAAGTAATAATACATTTTAAAAAATATGATAGTACTTATACGGTACGATACATATATTCTTTTACCATGATGTTGCGTCCAAGTAGATTTTGGATCCTCCATAAACATGACCGCTTTATAATAACGTGTATTACTTGTAAAATTTGGCCATTTGGCTTTCATTGTACGTACAGTGCGGAGCACCATATCGTGCGCCGTGAGGAGAAGTAGTTCTCCTCCGGCCGCCTCCTACTATCACGCGCCAGCGGCCCGAGATTTAGTCCATATATCG